GGGACCTTCATGGTTTGGTTTGCATTTATATTCCAGCATAAAATTGTAGTGAGATTTAAGTAGAATTCAGTGATAAAACACGGAAAACCCAGATTTCGACTTTTTTTTAGTCCTCAACATTAAACTGCCTTTTTGAGGGTCAAAACAGCGGAATTTGGCGTCCGGAAAATCGCGGCGCCTATTCACCGCCACTTTCGGTTTTGGGGCGTTTCCGAAATGGTGTTATGGGTAGAGATGGCAATCCATGTACTGTACCGCGGGCCTGACCCATTAAGGTTTGTTGTGGGGCGGGTATGGGCCGGGATATTCACAGCCCGCAAAATAGCGGGCCTTGCGGGAGAGGGCTTGTGTGGATCCGGGCTTTTTGCGGGATAGCCCACAATCATCCGCGGGTCACTGTAGATCCCGCATCGTCTTCGTCATCGCTTAATCACCTGGAAAAAAAGTGAGAGTGGTGGTTCTGGTCAGTGGTTCGTCAGGCTCTGACAAAATCGATTCCTGTAACTCTTGTATTTTCGTTGTTTGTTTTGTTCCATCATTCAATTCTTGTAAAGAGCCGTTCGATTCTTGTAACTTCAATTTTTTGTATATTCACTTCTTGGTTAAAGTATAAAATCATCTAGTGTTCGCTTGATTTTCTTTTTAACTGGATTGTTATTGTTTCATATTGCTGCTCAGATTTTAAGCCAACTGGGTAATATGAAACGATTCACAAGCTGATGGTAAGAAGAGTTCTGTAATTTTGGAATCAGAAGCTGCAAAGATGGACCAAGTCAATCGAGCATCAGGTTAGTATTAACTATTTAGTAACCCATCTGTTCAAAAGCATGAACGCACCAATAATAAATTGTCAAGCCCTTCGTCAATTTTTTATGCTAAACAATGCTTTTAAAAAAAATAAAATTGTGCTGCGGCTCCCCAGGTGAAGCAGAGGCAATATTAGCTAGAGCACAAGCCACAGCCAGGGGATTGACCTTGTTATCTCAATCCCTCAAAGAAACTGGTGGAGTAGAGGTTAGTACATAAGATTAAGCAGCTGGTCTTATGCATGCTTTGCACTGAATCTTTTTGATGTAGTTTGGTTTCATATCAGTACGTAGCCAATGCATTAAAGTTTCCAGAACCGTTATCCCATACATGATTTTCTTTTAGATTCTACATAGGTTTTTGTGTCTTGTTGAGTTAAGTTAACTTGCTTTGATTTCAAAATTTGGACATCCTGGTGCAATGTGCAGGCTGCGAGTTTGAGAGTTGCAGAGCAATACATTCAAGCTTTTGGCAACATCGCTAAGGAGGTAAGCAATTACAAGAGACAATGTACTTGTTTCTATTCTCATCCTCCCTTGGGGGTATTGATCTAATAGAGTAATTAATATTGTTCTTCTTTCTTACCAATAAAACAATATTCTTCTTCTTGTTAGGATATAACAATGCTGCTTCCGAGTTCTGCTGAAAATCCTGCTAATATGATCGCTCAAGCTTTGACAATGTACAAAAGTCTCATCCCCAATGTTGCCCCCCAAGAAACTTCAGCAGTAGAAGTGGTTACCTGAGCTTACACCCTTCAGTAGTAGCCATGGTACCTTAACTAGGAACTATGATTATTATTGACCTGGGAAAGCTTTTTTTTTCATATGAGAGACAGTTATGAACTTGGTGTTCGTTAATTCGTTTTTTTTAGCAAACTAGAAAACAGATCAAAACTCTAAGATGGAAGAGAGGTAGCTGCGAAGCTGTCATCGGTTGGATCCAGGCAAGGGAAACGATAGTTTGTTGCAGAAACTGTAAGCATTTCTACAGTTCTACATCGCAACTTAGACACTCTTTAAGGGTGCTGCTTTGGAGGAGATCAACGTTTGCTCGTATACGAGTATCTCCATAATGGAAGTCTCGATCAGACACTATTTGGTAATATTCATGTTTCTGCCAAGCTAAAACCACTCATAGTGCATTTGTGATTGATTTAATTGATGCAGGGGAAACGATTTTACATCTTGCTTGGTCAACCCGTTTCGAGATATGCTTGGGAATAGCACATGTCTAGTCTATCTCCACAAGGAGGCAAGATGTGCTTAATAATAGGTACCAAAAAATCTCTCTTTTAATCTCTGGAGTAGACTATATGAATGAGCCACAGTCCAAAGAACCTAGGGATGGGTTCTAGACCATAGTAAATCCATGATGAATATCTTTAAAAACGTCCAGGTTCTACTCTACGCATATATAAGTCAAGTTTTTGCCACTGGAGCATTCAGTGTTCCAACATCTCTTTACGTTTTGTTTAAGGTGAGAGTGATTGAAACCTCTAAGTATCTACTCTTACCCTCTGGTTATAGGATTTTTTTTGGACAGATCGTTGTCTTGTTCAAGTAAGTGTATGGTAGTTCATACTACATATTCTATCATTAACTCAGTGTCTTGTTGTTCAAGTAAGTGTATGGTAGCTCATACTAAATGTTTCTATTTATTTTTGGCTTGCAGGGAGAAGCAGATGGTGTAACATCCGATGTCCCGCGGGACGGTCCGCGAAGGCTTGGAAGGACTGGCGGTACGGGATTGGGTAGCTATTTTCAGGACCGCATCCCGCACGGGACAGGCCCGCCATGACCCGCAAGATGACGAAACCGCAGCGGTATGGGACGGAACGGGACGGGAGAGCCCAATTGCCATCTCTAGTTATGGGCGTCGTAGTTCCACACGGTTCAAAAGTTATGAAGTTTTTAAGTTTAGAAACGCTTGGTGTGCAAAAAAAAATAAAAAAAGGGGGGCAACACGAGGAGTTCCCGGGAGGTCACCCATCCTAGTACTACTCTCGCCAAAGCACGCTTAACTGCGGAGTTCTGATGGGATCCGGTGCATTAGTGCTGGTATGATCACACCCGTTAGTACATGACTCGAAATTCAATATATCCTTCGTTTTCCTCATCACGTTATGGATTAGCGTGGGACCTTCATGGTTTGGTTTGCATTTATATTCCAGCATAAAATTGTAGTGAGATTTAAGTAGAATTCAGTGA